AGAACAGAGGTTAATAAAAGGACCATTTGTAAGGTGTGGGCACAGGTAAAGGCCCCAAGTCAAGATGGAGCATGCTCAGGAACTAGCAACTGTGGGAAGACCTGGAGGGCCAAGGGCAGTGACTCGTCACAGGAACCTGGTGAGGGCCTCAGAGGCCGGTGAGGGCTCAGGTGGAGAAACACCAAGTCAGGGTGAGGGAAAGAGATGGAGGCATCAATGCTCTGGCTGCTGTCTTCTCCTGCCTTCCCACCTCCTGGAGATGCCTCCCACTGGGCAAATTCGACTGAAAACCTGAGGCTAGGGAGTCCAGGTGAGACAGTCACAAAGCAACCTTCTAGGACATACAGCAGGATAGAGAAGGATCAAGAAGGACAAATGAAGAGCCCGCATGGTATTTTGGTGGGATGTCAGGTAGGGGGCTGTTGGGAAGAAGCTATATCAAAATCCCTGCCATAGTTGTTGAGTAATTAATTGCTTTCAAACATTCATTGAACACCTGCTCTGTTAGGTGACACCAAATAAGTCAACAGAGACTTTGTCTCTGTGGGACTCCTAAGCCAGCACGCGATTGTGGTTCTTATGGCAGCTGATGGAGACTGTGGGATGAGGGACAGCAAAAGACGGCTCTGCCTGAGAGAAGGCTTCCTGGAAGGAGGGGATGGATGGATGGGTGGAATGATGGTTGGGTACAGTTGATTTACAACGTGGTGTTAGTTTCGGTGTATAGCAAAGTGAGTCAGTTTACATACCCATATAGTCATTCTTTTCTTTTTAGATTATTTTCCCATTATAGGTCATTATAGAATATTGAGTAATTTCCCTGTGCTATATAGTAGGTCCTTGTTGGTTGTCCATTTTATACATGGTAGTGTGTATATGTTAATCTCCAACTTTTGAGCTGGATATTCCATCTGTACAGAAGGTGAAGGTGTCTTTCTTCACAGAAGACAGCATAGGCAGGGTTGCAGGCATCATCAGGGTGTGACAGTGAAGGCATGAAGCTGGGAAGAAGGATGAGACAGTGTCTGATACCTGGGCTTCTGGAGTCGGATTGATGAGTTGGGATAGTATCCTTTGAATGGGCAAGTGGAAGTTAACATAGGCTTAAAAGGGATGTACATCTTGAAAAAGATGAGCTGATACAGGNAACATAGGCTTAAAAGGGATGTACATCTTGAAAAAGATGAGCTGATACAGGGTGCTTTCCACACCTGTTTTCTTAGTACACTCTCCTTTTCCTTTTCAGTTCTCTCTTTTACTTCTATGCCTCTCTCACCACATTTTTTATTGCTGTTTTGCTTCTGGAAACTGAAATATCCAGGGTGAAAGGATTAGTTAGAATGGGTTCAGTGTAGGAAAAAAAATATCCTAGGTTAAAAAAAATTCCCACTTCAGTTGCCAGTAGGGGTTTAATTTGAGGCAGTGGAAATATTGAGGATGCCAACACAGAAATTAAATTGCTTCATGAGCCAGTGCTTAGTGGTGGGCCACAATAAAGTAAAAATGAGATGTTACTCCATGACAACTTGAAAAGATGTCTTGAAATATGATCAGTATTCGAGATGTCTTATTGTAGGCTGAGACATAGCATGAATTGAACGAATGAAAATACAAACACATACTCTCATATTACTTTTCTGTACATTGATCAGCGAAGAGAAAATTCTTTCAGACTTTGGGGAGAAATTCCTTTACTTAATTATTCAAACAACCATTTCTTATCTGCACTTTTATTTATATACCCTTTACACCTGTTTAATTAATCCTAAACATGATACTGACTGCTAATTAAACAGCCCTGAAAGTGACTGACTGAAGGTAGTAATTTGAGATAATTAGTTTTGGTTTCAAACACTCAATTTTCACACTTTGTGCTCATTTTTAGAAAGGGGTGGCTCATTATTATAGGCAGGGTGTGGATTGTGTAGGGCATTTTACTGCTGGACTTTGAGTAGCTGAGGAAGTAGGATTATTATACATCCAGATAGGGCAATGTAATGATATAGCACTGTGGAATTTGCTATGGAATACTCCCCATTCCCTCCTACACATGTGCATGCGCGTGCACACACACACACACACACACACACACACACAATTCCTTCCAAAATTAAGGTCAGGCTGTTGGATCTTTTTCACTAGAACATAGAAACACATATGCTCTTGATCTTTGTGAAAGATCTCTAGCAAAGGGTAGACCTCACTGAATCATCCATTATCCCTTTCCCAGGTCCTCTGGAAGCCACTAAGAAGGGCAAGATCTGGTGTGTGGTTAGAGATTTGGATGGATGTCCTTGCTAAGTATTTATGTTCTACAAAGGTATGAGGCCTAATCAAGGGGACAATCTATCAAGAGGTGACTGGTATATCTGGCAGAGAGTGCAAAGGAACAAAAATGAGACAGGTCAAGACTGATTTTCACGATCCCACAATATTGACAGGCAAATTAGTAAGGTCCTACTAGGAGAACAGGACCCAGAAGAATTGGGTGTGAAATAGACTAAATCATTGTTGTAGGTGATATAGACAGATACAGGTTACTCAGAAGCCAAACAAGTTCTCCAGCACCCTGGAGAGCTCCAAGCACAGTCTTCCCTTCTCTGGGTAAGGAGGCTTTTACACTTTAGGGTGTCACTTTCACTGGCCACCAAAAATGGGAGGAGGACTCTCCAGACCTCCAAAAGGTCTGGATACAGATGTTGAGGGCTTTTTCAAGATATCGAGAGGAAAGTTATAACCTCCTTGTGGATTGGTGATCGTCTGGTCGGGGGGTGGTAGGTGATGGATGGTTCCCAGAGTGTGTAGCTCTGTGTAGGAAGATGAAATGGCAGCCCGTTGAATATCAGAGCCCTGATATTAGCTGCGAGATCTGATGGAGAGCAGAGTTAAGAGTTTTATGTATGAGTCAGACCTGCATCTTCAACCAAGCATCTCGAGTTAGGGCATTGTAGAGTCATTGTGACCTCTGGATTTTCACATTAGAGATGAGGTGCACATCTCTTAAACTCCGTGTCCCACAATAGTGTTGCCCACTTTTTAGTTGCTTTCATTCATCTCACAGGAACTTCAGAATAAACAAAGTCAAAAATTGAACTCATCATTTTTGTCTTCCAAATCTCCTCTTGTTCTTCTACCTTGGAAAATATCAAACATTATCTACTCAGATACCAAAGCCATAGAACTCTCATAGAACTGAGAGTCATTTCCCATTTTTTCCTACACCTTTCTTGGTCTTTTAGATACTCACAGGTTCTATACCCTTCCTTTTTTCCCACCTGCCACTGCCTTAGTTCAGTTACTATACTTTCTTACATAGATTTCTATAGTAGTTTTCTAACTGGAACTAGTAGGCAACTTCTTATGTCTTCACTTTAATTCAGCGTATCTCTGAATTAGGGGTCCACTGGCATCAGATTGTTCTGGGGGACATATTAGAATGAAGATTCCTAAATGTCTAGACATACTAAGTCAGAATTTTTGGGCATGGGGCTGCCCAGGTGGACACTGAAATGCGAGGGTTTCTACTTTTCCCACTGCTGCTGATGTGATCTTTCCAAAACAAAATTTTTGTTGTGCCACTCCTTTGGTTACAATCAAGCTGTGCTTCTTCATGACCTTGGTGATAAAGTCCACACTCCTTGTCATACCTGAGTAATGCTTCATCCTCTGGTTTCTGTCCAGCTCTGAAGTTATACTTCTGACACTCCTCCCTTGGTTTCCTGCTTTCCCACCACGAGAAACGCTGCAACACCATACCCTGTCTTGACTCTGCCTTTGGACATACTGTTTCCTGTGGCTGAAATGTCTTTCCCCATGTTTTTGCTGGGTTTCCTGCATCTTTTGTGCTTGGTCTAGCCTGCATGTCCCTCTGCCATACTTCTTTAACATTCCTGTGTTCTTCTGTCCTAGCATTTTTCATAGATAGAGTAAGACTCTTCACTTGTATATAGGAGTGAATATTGCATTTCAAACGTTTTTAGGGGTAGATTTATGGCATGCAGTTAATTTGCTACTCAGCTTGAAATTATTTAGGAGAAATAGCATATCTCTAATTTTGAATATCTTCTAGCCATTCACCCTGTTTATGTCAGAAAATAGTCTCTTTTCCTAAAGAAATTATGGTATGGTTTCCTTTTTTTTTTTTTTTTTGAGGGATGGAAGCCTGGAGAGATGTTATAATTAAAAGATACATGGTTAGCTGTTCCCAAATCTTATTGTGGTACTCAGTGATTATATTAATAAGCAGTGACTAGATTTGCAAAGGTATATATTTAAAATAATTTACCCAAAATATAATCTTAATACTAAAATGGTATTAAGTGTAAAAAAAAAGTCTTGTATTAAATTCTCTACTCATCATTACATAGCCTTTATATCCTGAAGCCAAAGACGATTTCAGAGGTGACCTTTTCTGGGGCATGTGTGTACATTTCATGTTCATTTCTGCCTCATTTCTTCACCAGAAGTTATCATGTACAGAATAAGAAAAGCAGCAACAACAAAAAGCACAAATGTTTTGCTTTGTCTTCTGAAACAATGGGGACTGAATCAAAACTAAATTCTTTCTGTTTTGCTGTGGTTTTTTAGTTGCTCAGTCATGTCTGACTCTTTTGCGACTGCATAGACTGTAGCCTGCCAGTCTCCTCTGTCCATGGGATTTCCCAGGAAAGAATACTGGAGTGGGTTGCTGTTCCCTTCTCCCACCCAGGGATTGAACCCATGTCTCCTGCATTGCAGACAGATTTTTGAGCGCTGGGCCACCAGGGAAGCCCTCTTGTTTAGAAATGTGCTTTGAAAGAAAGTGAGCGCACTATAACCTACTATCTAATAACTCTGTAACCTACTATCTAATGAGATTGATGGTGATGAAATCTTATCTTGGCTGCAGGCTGCTCTGTCTAGGTTTCTGCTATAGCTTTGACTATTTAATCTCTTGTGCAACAGCCCATCATTTGACAAGATTCCTCATGGGTGGAAATGACCTGTCATTTGTTTTGCAGATACCTCAAATTAGCTATGCATCCACCGCCCCAGAGCTAAGTGATAATACCAGGTATGACTTCTTCTCCCGGGTGGTCCCTCCAGACTCCTACCAAGCGCAGGCCATGGTGGACATCGTGACGGCCCTGGGGTGGAATTATGTGTCGACGCTGGCTTCTGAGGGTAACTACGGAGAGAGTGGTGTGGAGGCCTTCACTCAGATCTCCAGGGAGATTGGTAAGTGCATATTTATCAGATGATTGTGTTTGAGACGACAGGCTGTGGAAGTCTGAGTGTCCCCAAGAGCTCTCTCATCTGTGTGGGATAATTAGAGCTCCTACAGATGCATGACCCAGGCTGTCCACTCTAGGGGGAAGCTGGGCTTATTATAAATGGTTTTGTTGTTCATGGTCTATCAAGGTGACACTCTTGTGCTAATTTAGGAAGTAGAGCTCCTGAGTCAGGCAAACATTTTTTAAAGTTGTCTGTTTTGATGTGGGAGTTTGCTGGCACATTAGAGCCACTGTATATTTGAATAAATGACATACTATTTGATTGTTCTAGATGGGAGTTTACATTAGCAAGTCATTAAATATTTTTAAAAAAGCAGTAGAATTTAACATCCAGCACTAAAGGGATTAAGACTGGTAATCATCTTAAAACAATACTGAAGTAGCCTCCAAGGCTATACTTGAGTGATATTCTTATTGTCATTTTTGACTTTTTGAATTTTGATTCTTACCTCAAGCTCTGAAGCTTATGGTGAGTGGGATTAAGGGCAAGATGTGGAAACTTGTTTAGAATAGGGTGCTTGTGAACTCTGTCCTGGTTTTTTTCAACATTCTCATTCAAATCTCCGTAGGCATTTTACTATGTGTGTATTTATCCATGAGGCTGTAAATCTACTATACTATGTGGAAAACCAGAAGACAAAAACACCTCAGGGCATAAATCTTATTGCTGATTGGGCAACAATATAACTTTTCGGATGAAAGGAGATATGTTACGAGTTACTTAACAAATGCTATTGTTCTTACTAAGAATTACTGAATAAAATTTGCATATTTTTCTATTGCATTGTTTTCTATAATAGCAATGTTTTGCCAAAAATTTAAAGCATCCTTTAGCTGTTTTGGGGTAATTTTAAACTTTGATAACCTAATGTTTTTACTTGAAGCTTTAAAGGAGGAAAAGATCATGGGAATGATTCAGGCTTATTCCCTAATTAGCAGACAAAGCATCTAAATTTATTGGAATAACGTTTTCTCTTAAAAGATATGAAGATGCCTAGGATCTGTTATGCTGCATGTAATAAGCATGGAAACTTATGATGCACAATGTTTGGTGTGTATAATATTTGTTCCAGTACTGTCTGCTGCAGAAAATGTAGAAAAGACCTGGTCTTGTTGGATAGATTGGCTTAATTTACTTAAGGGACAGCTATTCATTCTTTGTTATAAATATCCATGATGGCATAATCTTTGCTCTTTTGAATTTTAAATTATATCACTATTGCTATAAAAATGATTCAAAACATTCAACTGAACTTTAAATGATGGTAAATTATATTACCTTCTTGGAAAAGAATCTCACATTCATTCTTAGGAGAAATGCCCACTCTAATGAAAACAGTAGCTTCTGAAAGCAGGTTGAAAGCATTATTTAAGCAGCTGATGTTAGTTCTCACCAAAGTGATAATTTAACAAAAGAAGGCAACTAATAGAATATGTATTGAAATGAGAAGTTTTCTGCAGTGATCCTGTACATTCTTAACTAGAGTACACATTCTGTGTGCATGCAACCTATTACTATGAAAAATTTAAGACAGGACATTGTTGCAGACTCTGATAAAATGCATTGTTTTAAAAGTTAAAAGTGAGAGTGCAGTTTTATTCTTCTTACCAGAAGGAAAAAAAAAAAATGAAATACTTAGTTCTCACTTTTAGGGAACATTGCTATACTTTGGTAACTGTCACCTTAAAGGATTCAGGTGGTACCATTCATTTTTACTGTCTCTATCTTAGTCATTAGTATGGGAGAAAATAATTTTAGTGCCTTGTGTATGCTCCTGATTAGAGCAACATTTCTTCTCTGTTGATCCTTTCAGTATTCTGTGACTTGATTGGCTGTCCATTCTATTTCAGTTCTCACTTATCTGGGGAATGGAGGAGGGCTGTATTGTCAATTAATATGCAGAATACTGAAAAGGCCAAATTAGTGCCACACTAGAGTATGCCATGGAATATATTAAATATCAAAATCATCCCTCATTTTAATGACAAAGATTTTATCTGGAACAAAAATAGCTGAAAATTAAACCTTTTACATGACAATGAGATTAATGGGAATGACAAATGGTAGCAACTTAACCCATTCTGAAGTGATCTGATGACTCTAATGAAAATTCATTAGTTCTGTAACATTTGCTCCTCTTACTACAACATTGATGACATCTCTGTCACTGTGTTACCAGTGTTTTTAAAGATCTTAGTCTCTTGACTGAGAAGGAGATATATGCATTCATTTTTTGGAGTGTCTGCCTATTAATGAAATTGTATATTTTCCCAACTCTTATAAATTTTCCTGTACTCTGTTAAGAATTTCTCCCTTCAGCAATGTTAATTGCTACGAAATTTCAGTGTAACCTGGGACTTCCTATGTTTTGTCTCTGATTAATTCTGACAGATCATAATGGAATGATAGTGAAATGAAAATCTGTTTAGTGATACATTGCTTGTACGGTTTGATTAGAACATTTTTCATTTTAACAAAATCCGAGACGTGGGGAAGCACCCTTAGTGAGTCTTGGAGAATAAAGTTTATGAATGAATGATGGTCTTGAACACCGACATCAATGATGTCTCTTCTGTTGTCAGGATCCTTCTCAGGGAGAGAGGGACAGGAGTTATTTGATAAAATAAGACGAGTAGTCCCTTGATATTTTAGCTGTTATAGTCTCAGCCCCAAGCCTCCTGACTATAACTATAAACTATATAAAAAAACTATAACAGTTTTTACTGGAAAAGGCAAAAAAAAATTTGAGAGCAACAAATGTCACAATTTGATTGGATCATAGTTTGTGTAGTAAGGTATGGAAGAGAAAACTGGAAGGCTTGACATGGTACATAGATGGCTATTGTACCCCATGGTATAGTAATTTTATCCTTCATTTTCTAGACAGTGGAGGAAACTACTGAATAGAGAGGAATCCATCAGAATACATATTTAAGATTTTGCTAGTAAGAAGTAGAGGATGGGGAGACCAGTTGAAAGACTTGTAATATCAATCTTAACCTCATAGAGGGCAGTGATAATAGAAATGGATGAGGGAACAGACTTGAGAGACACTTGTGAGGTAAAGTCTCTGGAACTTAGCAATTGATGGGAAGTAGAGCTTGAAGGTGAGGCTTCCCTGATATCTCAGCTGGTAAAGAATCTGCCTGCAATGCAGGAGACCCCAGTTTGATTCCTGGGTCGGGAAGATCCCTTGAAGGGATAGATTACCCACTCCAGCACTCTTGGGCTTCTCTGATGGTTCCGATGATAAAGAATTCACCTGCAATGTTGGGGGGCCTGGGTTGAGAAGATCCCCTGGAGGAGGGCATGGCAACCCACTCCAGTACTGTTGCCTGGAGAATCCCCATGGACAGAGGAGCCTGGTGGGCTACAGTCCATGGGGTCACAAGGAGTCGGACACGACTGAATGACTAAGCACAGCACACAGAGCTCGAAGGTAAGACAAAATTAAACTTGAAATTTTGGTCAGTTGGAAAATGCAAGTGCCGTGAATAGAAAAGAGACAGTAAAATGGAAAGCGTGGTTGGAATGGGAAGCATGGTTTGATTATGAACTCAATAAACTGTAAGTACTGGTACATACCTTTGTGGAGAAGAACAGTCAAGGACATTGGTTGAGAGCCAAAGCAGGAACTGAGATGTAGTTCTGAAGCTCATTCTCACAAAATTGATAATCGAGGTGAGGAAGGTAATTGCTAAGGTGTAGAGTGTGAACTAGAGTAAGAAATGAAGAGTGAGAGTTAAAGGGGGCAGAGGATATACTTGTGGGCTTTACATAAAGGTATGGGATGATGAGCATTGTTGAGGATGTAGAGGAAAGGAGGGCGTTGTACATGGTTGATATGAGTGTAAATTGGTGTAGTCATTATGGAAAAAATAATATGGAGTTTCCTTGGAAATTAAAAATAGAACTACCACATGATCCAGTGATTCCACTTCTAAGTTTATAACCAAAGAAAATGAAATCAAGATTTTGAAGAGGTATCTGCATCTTGTGTTCATTGTAGCCTTATTTTCAATAGCCAAGATATGGAAACAAACTAAATGTCCATTGATGGATGAATGGACAAAGTATATCTATATTTATGTATCTATTTCTCTCTCTATATATATAATGGGATATTATTTAGCCTTAGTAAAGAAGGAAATCCTGCCACTTGTGACAACATGGATAAATCTGAAGGGCATTGTACTAAGTGAAGAAAGCCAGACACAGAAAGACAAATACTGCATGCTCTCGCTTATGTGTAGGATTCTAAAAAGTCAAACTCATGAAATCAGAGTGTGTTGCTAGAGGCTAGTGGGGGGAGTGGTGAGGGAAATGGAAGATATTGGCCAAAGAGAATAAACTTTCAGTTAAACAGGATTAATAAATTCTGAAGAGCTAATGTACAGAATGGTAACTATAGCTAAAGATACTGTGTTGTTTACTTGAAATTTCCTGAGAATTGATCTCAGGTGTTCTCACCACACACATACAGACACACACACACACACACACACACACACACACACACACTACTATGTGAGGTAATGGAAATGTCAATTAGCTTGATTGTGGTAATCATTCCACAATGTATACTTTTATCAAAACATTGAGTTGAACGCCTTAAATGTATACAATTTTTGTTTGTCAATTATACCTCAATCAAGTTGAGGAAAATAAAATTAGTATAAATGAAAAAAATGAAGATGTGGCAACAGTGGCTTAGATTTAGCAACGGAAAGCCGAGAATAGGGCAGAGACTTCTCTTGATGGGATTTGTGGCTATGGGAGGGCTCTCAGCCTCCTTTGAAGTTTTCCATGATGAGAGATGGTAGGAGTTCTTGATGAAAAAATCAAGGATATTGAGCAGATTTTCATAAGAGGACAGGAACTTTGCCAGAGGGCACAGCTGAAATTATGTGGCACTGTGACAGAGGATCAAGGATTGTCCTTGA